ATAAAACACTTGGTCGCACATACACCTCACACCACCGTCCCCGCCTGCATGTCGTCCCATCCCACGATCTGTTGCTTAGTAAGCTCCAGGGACCCCCGCTCCACATGCGCGCGCACGCATCGTCAGCTCCCTCGGCTGGCCGGCCGCCCCCCCCCCTTGCACCCACGCCCCGCCCTTGGTGTCCCCTCCCTGTTCTTTTGGCTGCACGCAGGTCTGGCGTCTTGTCGCAGGAGGACATGCAGCACATGTTCAACCGCGCACCAACACCCATATACGAGGTGGGCAGGGCGCACGCATGCGCATTTGCAAGGGCACGGCTGAGGGCGTGGGGCGAGCGGCGGCGGCGGCGTGGGGGGCGCTCGTGCGTGGCGCCTGCCTTGTTGCATGTGCGCGCGCATGTGCGCGCAGGCCCCTGCGTGTGCTCATACCCCGCACCCCTGGGGGCAAAGGGCAGGCCTTTCGCATGGGTTGGCGTGGCAGCAACGGCAAAGCCAAGGGTTGAGGTTCAGTGTGAGACTGCCCCTGGTCACCGTTTCATTCACACCTCGCGAGCGCTGCGCGTGCTTGCGACACACGACGCGGGCACACCATCCGCGCGCCGCACTCCTATCAGCCTCATGGCTCCCACAAACGTCACTTAGGACTTCCAAATGAACGTCACTTAGGACTTGCAAACGCCTCCTGAACCCTGACATCCCAATCTGTGAGGTCTGACCCTGAACCCTGGACCCTGAACCCCAAACCCCCAAACCCCGCCAGCTGGACCTGTGGAATCGAACCCTGGTGGCGGGCGGCGCGCCGGAGCCAGGGCCACTTTCCAGGGACGGCTACCTGACCCGCTGGAGGGCGTTTGCCCTGCAGGTGTGGCGGCGACACCCTTGGCCCCCACCCCTTTTTAAGGGTTTCGGGCGACCTGAGTCGCCGCCTGGACCTGCAGCGCCCCCCCCTTTGTTGTGACGCAGACGGCTGCTTGCGCCGCTTCGTCGTTTGGCGGCTGTGGTTTTGCGTGCGTGCGTTTTTGAACATGGGGATGAGGGCACCACGAACACAGCTCGCACAGGAGGGCATTCGCACCCCACCCCCCTTACTTGTCCGCTCGCACACTGCGCACCCTTCCGGACGCGTCCGCGGGCGGAAGCAGCGGCGGCCTGACTGCAGGCGGACAGCACGCACCCGCGCATACTCGCAGTGTCCTGATTGATTCACGCCGCCCGCCACGCGGGCCCGACACAGCCTGTCCGATGCAGACGCAACCCTCTCTCCTGCTGCCTTCAAACGGACACTCCTGTGTTTCACCGTTTCTCCATCCACCTTTCCAGGAGCCTCGGCTGGCTCTTGAGCAGTTGATGTATCTGGGGCTCGGCGGCCGCAGGGGCGAGGGCGCGGGGGACCTCTTTGATGCAAAGCCGCGGCTGGGGCGGGGCGCCCCGTGCTCGGGGCTGCTGGCCAGGTCGGTGGGGGCTGTCGGTCGGTCAAGTCCCACTATCATGGGGACAGGTGCAAGTCAGGGCGTGCAGCGGCGCGGCGGCTCGCGGCCGGCGGGGCGGAGCGATGCGCAGCGGGTGCGGCACGGCTGTGTTCGCGGACGGCAGGGGCGGTGCTGACCGCAGCCGCGCTGAGTGGTGCAGACGTCTGGCTTACTACGGTCTAACGGCATGCACACCCAATCACCCAACCCCCGTGCGGCCTGCCGGCAGGACGACCCTGCACTGCGCCGTTTTCGGGGGCTACCACTCCGGCAAGTCGTCGCTGGTCAAGGCGCTCGCCGGCCGGCCCTCGGGCGACCGCCCCGCCGGCATGCTGAGCGCCGCCGCCAGCGTTGCGGTCGGGCGGGGGCCGGCGGGGGG